TGATTTTAAGGTCGAACAATTTAAATTTTCTTATGCTAGGAAAGTATCATCATTTAAGATTGGTATTCCTTGTGCTCTTTTTGCATCTGTGTGTTCCACCAGTTTCTGGCCCGGGGGCCAAGAGAGAACGCTATAGTCGGGTGCCCCGACTATCAGATACCCGTTACTCAGGTAAAGGGAGTGCGAGGGAGATGGAGATAGAAACTTTGATCACGCATAACTTTTTAACGAATTTTCCGATTTGAAACATTTCTTCTACATTTCGATAGGTATTGATAAACACAATAAAACTGCATTTTTACTTTTCCGAAATATTTAAATTTTTAAAATCGTATATAAGCGATTGTGGGCGTTAAAGGGGGCGTGGCACCTTTTTGAAACAAACTTGCGCTGCGTAGGAACTCCTAGAATCTGCATGCAAAATGCCAATCTTCTAGCTTTTATAGTTTCCGAGATCTCAGCGTTCATACGGACGGACAGACAGACGGACAGACAGACGGACAGACGGACAGACGGACATGGCTATATCGACTCGGCTAGTGACCCTGATCAAGAATATATATACTTTATAGGGTCGGAAACGCTTCCTTCTAGCTGTTACATACTTTTGCACGAATACAATATACCCTTTTACTCTACGAGTAACGGGTATAAAAAGAATAGTTCAGGGGAAATGGAAAACACCATTAAAGAACCATCCCCAGCGCCCTCCACATCCTCTTCTGTCCCAAAAAACTAGCCTCCTCTTTTCTTCTTTGCTATCAGAATACAAGAGGCTTACTTAGTAAGCTGACTAAATTGTATTCGGATAGTTTTTCTTTTCCATATAATATTATGGTATGTACAGAGACCTGGTTAAGGCCGGATATTCTTAGCTCCGAAATTCTCTCGGGTAAGTACACAATTTATAGGCTTGATCGTCAGTCCAGACGGGGAGGTGGAGTCCTGATTGCTGTCGACTCCACCTTTTCGTCTGAATTACTAACTTTCGAAGAATTTTATGACATCGAATTCCTAGGTATAAAATTATCGTTTCCCGGTAGTTTTGTATATATTACTTGTTCATATATCCCACCATCATCTGAGTTCCCTATTTACGCAAATCACCTTTCCGTTATTCAGTCCATTTCCAAAAAACTGTCGGATCGAGTTCAGTTAATTGTATTAGGTGATTTTAATATACCTAGTGCGACATGGTCCCCTGACGAAAACTCTAATATTTTACTTCCTTTAGCGCAGCATGACTTTATTGACGGCTTGCTTGACATTGCGCTATCCCAAGTGAACCATGTTAAGAACTCCTTAGGACGTTTACTGGACTTGTGTTTTGTTTCAAATTCAGAAGGCGTTTGCCTATCAAGAACGTCGCCAATTACACAACCAGAAGATCCTTATCATCCAACTCTAGAGCTGACTGTAGACGCAAGAACAGAGCTGAATAAAAAATCCGAAAAGTCGGTTAAACGAATCCGCTGCTTTCGTAAGGAAAACTTTCATCTTTTAAATACTTTTATATCCGGCTATGACTGGTCCGAATTTTATTCATGCACTAACATGGCTAAGGCCGTTTATATCTTTTATAATGCATTGAATTCCTTCTTTTATCTGTGTATTCCGTTATACTATCCGTCAATTTCAAATAAACCTCCATGGTTTAATAAAGAGTTGTCACACCTAAAAAATATAAAGTCCAGACTTTTCAATAAATTTAAAATGTGCGGTTCACAATCTGCCTTCTCTCGGTACCTAAGGGCTCGGTCAAATTTTATCGTGCTTAACGCCCGGTGTTATAAAAGCTATTTGACTCGTTGTAGGGTCCAATTTTCACAAGATCCAAAACAGTTTTATAATTTTGTTAACACTAAGCGTAAATCAGCCTGTTACCCTGCATCACTATCATTCGAAAACTCTACGGCAAATTCTGATCAGGCAATTGCCGATCTATTTGCCCAGTTTTTCCAGACAACATATTCTGTTTCATCCCGTCCAAATCCGTCTTATTCAAATGCCATACCCAAGTCGAACTTGATTTTTTGTCCGAGGTTAAGCGAAAGCTCCCTTCTTTTGGATCTTCATAAAGTTAAGCCTGTCTATTCACCGGGTCCGGACGGAGTTCCAGGCTGCGTGCTGAGGTACTGTGCTGAAACTCTGTGTAGACCTCTGTACAAATTGTTTACCTTGTCTTTAAAAACATCTCATTTCCCACTTATTTGGAAGGAGTCATTTGTCATTCCCCTTCATAAGAAAGGAAATAAATGCAGTACAAGTAATTACAGAGGCATATCCAAATTATCCGCCATCCCAAAGCTTTTCGAAAACACTATTACACCCCATTTGCAACATCTTTGTAGATCGATTATATCTCCATGTCAACATGGATTTATAAGGCGAAGATCTACGACGACAAACCTCTTGGAGCTAACGTCTTTTGTAATAAATGGCTTTAGAAAGAACATGCAGACTGACGTAGTTTACACTGACTTTAGTAAAGCGTTTGATTCAGTAAATCACTCGCTACTTGTATTAAAGCTAGACTTATTAGAGTTTCCATGTGATCTTCTAACATGGATCTCAAGTTATCTGAGTGGTAGGACTCAACGAGTCCTCTTTAAAAACTCGATCTCTGATTTGATCCGAGTTACTTCAGGCGTCCCACAAGGAAGCCACCTTGGCCCACTTCTTTTTACTTTATTTATAAACGATCTCCCTCTAGTCTTGATAAAAGTCGCGTGTCCTTATGTACGCAGATGACGTTAAGTTATGCCTGCAATATAACGAAATTTCTAGCAGTTCAGACTTACAATCTGACCTAAACGCTTTTCAAACATGGTGTTGTGAAAATCTTTTGGATTTAAATAGCGCTAAGTGCAAAGTAATGACATTTTTTCGGGTGAACCCACAATATGCAACGTATACGCTGGGTGGTTGCGCGTTGTCTAGAATTACGCATGTTGATGACCTTGGCGTCCTCCTTGACCCTAAACTTAAGTTTTGTGACCATATTACGTCTATGGTGAATAAAGCCAGGGGAGTACTTGGATTTATTAAAAGGTGGTCAAAGGAATTCGATGATCCCTATGTTTCAAAGACTCTCTTCATTTCACTAGTCCGTCCAATCCTGGAGTACTGTTCTGCAGTTTGGAGTCCTCAGTATGGTGTACATATAGACCGGATAGAGTCTGTGCAAAAAAACTTTTTATTATTTGCTCTACGGGGCCTTAACTGGAATGCAAGCCTTATTTTACCATCCTACTCTAGTAGACTTCTCCTAATTAATCTACCATCCTTAGTAAACCGTAGAACGATGCTTGGCACAACTTTTATCTATAAACTTATTCACGGGGATGTGGAGAGTCCCGAGTTACTGGGTCGCATAAGCTTCTCCGTGCCTAATAGAATTACCAGGAACTATGTTCCTCTTACATTAAATATTTATAGATCTAACTTTGATATGCATGAACCGTTTAGAGTACTGTGTAACGACTATAATAAACTATACCACATTATTTCTACTACCGACTCTTTGCCAAGCCTAAAATCATTAATTTTATCTTACCTAGCACAAAATTAGTATTAGTATTAGTCTCGTACGTATTTGTAATCTTAGTCTGTCCGCTTCTACATTGTGCTTTTAACTTCTCGCGATCTCGTTTTTACGCCTATTGGGCTCCGCGCGTAACAAGCACTGCTTGGTGTCGTAAGGGCCACTTGTTTGCGCTGATCATAGTGCATCAACGTCCGAAAAGTTAAAAAATGTATCTTTAGGGTATCTTCTTAAATCCGATAATGAATATTATGGTTGGGTTGGGTAGAGACCGCAAGCGTCAAATGCCCCGTAGACCTTGCCAATTTTTGCCTGTAACCGTCTGATTTGAAGCTCATTATATTTTGTCTGTTTTCATAAGTCGTAAATTTTAATAAGTAGTTTCTGAAGGAATCCTAAAAATTAATGTACGTGTGGATAGTTAGATAAGGCAATTAGACCCACCCCACCGCCGAAAGAGCTAAGGTACCAGAGGGTTCCATTCGCCGTTCCTCCTAACTGAGTAGAAGTTTGAGAGCCCAATGATCAGTGGCCTGGTTTATCATATACCCCGTGAATCCTTTGCTCGATATCTCGGAATCTCATCCTTAGTCAACCTCTATATAACTTTTGGCGCCCAACGTGGGGCCATTACATAACTTTTGGCATCCCAACGGGGGATATGATTACTTATATTTAAAGAATTCATATTTTTGATGATTATTATAGGCAGAAGAAAATAAAAAAATTGATTTTACATATAAATACTTTTGGTTAAAAATTAACTATTAATATTTTAGAAGAAGATATCAATAATAAATCACTTTGCACACGTCTCCAAAACAAATTCACTTAATTTTTTAAAACTAATAAAATAATGTTACTAATAATTATTTTTTTTATCAAGGCACCAAAATATGCTAAATGAAACAAATATTTCAGAAGCTATTATAAAATGAATTAAAGGCTTTTTCAGGCACTTTTATAGTATAAGCTAGATTTACTGCAAAGGAACCACCCGTTTTTCAAATAAAATTTTTTGTATACATTTTCGATCGTTTTTTGGTAAAATTCCTCAGAGCTAACTATAAATTAGGTTTGCCATAAACGATTTGCATCTATGATATACATACATATTTATCGAAAAAACGCTACTTTTTTATAGCAAGTGCGGAACCAAACATGATTATACACCATAAGCTTATTCGCCAATACCGTTTAGAATTGTTAAAGGATTACGTTTTCTCTAAGATTTTGTAGCTGTTTAAACATAAAAACTTGGCTCAAGCATAATGCTAAATCAGAAAACATTTTGTAAATATTTATTTTGTAATATTTTTACCTTAAATTAGAGTATATCGCGCATTAAATATATTAAGTTCGCACAATCTTAATCAAGAAACATTACACCTTAAGCAATACTGATTTAATAGACTTTGGTGGATTTTAATTCCTTTATATTAAAATATATTTGAAGGGCAAAACTACTTCATGACGCCTGGAACTTGGCTTATGCTGGAGAACTAAATTTTGCCATTGCTCTTAATATGACTTTATCCATGAGAAAGGAACGTAATCATATTGTATGGAATCCGGTATTTACATTTCTAGACCAAATCGGCAGGCGGCTGGATATGTCGTCAGTTAAAAAAAAGTTTGAGGTATGTAACAAATAAATATACAAAAATTGTCATTAACGTTTTTTTCAAAGTTGTACGTTATACACATTTTGGCTCCATTATATGATGATTTGGGTACTGAAAATGCTAATGAAGACATTTGGAAAACAGACTTGCGAAAATTGACTAAAACATTTCTTTGCCGTGCGGGCTATTTTCCATGTATCAAGGCTGCACAAAAGGCCTTTGAAGTGTGGCTCAACAGTTCTAATCCAAACTTTGAAAATCCGTAAGTATTTTACATATTAAATGTTAGATGAGCTGGATCATTTTTTTTAACGTTAATGCACTTTAATCAGTACAAACATAACGAGTGGAGTCCTATTTCCCTTGGGGCGAAAGCTGGCCTTGTATTTCTCTTTTGTTTTTTTTGTATCTCTTACGTCTTTCTTTTGTGCGTTGACCGTTTTTACCGCAGTGCTGTCTCTGGAGTTGTTTGAGCATGCAAATGAACTTTCTCACTAGTGAATTTGATAAAAAAAATGTATTTTTATTTTTATAATCACATATTCACGATTACCATCTTCAATAACTCGAACTGATTTAATTCACTGTTCTTTTACTTTCACTGGATTTATTCAACTGCTCGATTCGGATCTCATAAACGGACTGCCTTGCGTCGAGTTCAATGATCAATAATCAAACCTCGGCTTAAGAGACTTATCCCAAAAATTAATAAGAGAGTCGGAAAATAGGATGATGCAATTTGCCAATTAACTTTGAAATCTAAATTCGGCCGGAAATTGCTGTTTACATTAGCGGACTTTACAGATCGCTTTGCGGATATTTTGTTTACGTTAGCGGCCTCAGAGCTCGCTTTGGGGCTCCAATGCTTACAATATCGGCTTGGATGTTTACCGAATCCGTTTGATGCGGACTGCGTGAAACTGATCTGGGTGGCAATAATTTGGAGGCATAGTTGACAGTAATAGCTGACTACGGATTTATTCTGGTCTGTCAGAGTTAATTGAAATTTAGCTCTCGGCACAAAGTTTTTTATAAATTGGGTAAGAGCCCCTAAATAATTTGTCATATAACTCCCCCCATTCTAAATTGAATAGTCCCGAATCATTCTAACTGATGGGTATATTGAATGTACATATTTGGCTATTTAATTTGACAAGATATTTTCTTCTAGGGTATTTTCATTGTCGGGGATATTATTTATTTCATTATCAGAAATTTTGCTTTCTGGTTCAATTTCTATATGAATTTGCCATGGTTTGACTATTAACAAGAGAGAACGCTATAGTCGGGTGCCCCGACTATCAGATACCCGTTACTCAGGTAAAGGGAGTGCGAGGGAGATGGAGATAGAAACTTTGATCACGCATAACTTTTTAACGAATGGTCCGATTTGAAAAATTTCTTCTACATTTCGATAGGTATTGATAAACACAATAAAACTGCATTTTTACTTTTCCGAAATATTTAAATTTTTAAAATCGTATATAAGCGATTGTGGGCGTTAAAGGGGGCGTGGCACCTTTTTGAAACAAACTTGCGCTGCGTAGGAACTCCTAGAATCTGCATGCAAAATGCCAATCTTCTAGCTTTTATAGTTTCCGAGATCTCAGCGTTCATACGGACAGACAGACAGACGGACAGACGGACATGGCTATATCGACTCGGCTAGTGACCCTGATCAAGAATATATATACTTTATAGGTTCGGAAACGCTTCCTTCTAGCTGTTACATACTTTTGCACGAATACAATATACCCTTTTACTCTACGAGTAACGGGTATAATAACGAAAACAGGGCTTCAGAGAACCGTTTAAAAATGGTCGACATGCAGACTATAGATAATCAAAGATAACATCACTCCAGACCTGAGGATTTCATTGAGAACATACAAGTTGGATGATCTGGACACATTAATGATTCTGGCTGACGAGTACGAAGAGCTCGACAAAGAGCGAGAAGAATTCGTCAACGAACACAAGTTTTCACGGAATAAAACGGCAGCACGACCACAAACTAAATGCAGGAGATGTGAAGACAGTGCCGTAAACCAAACACCGTCTCTTGGTCAGGGACACCGGCCAATGTAACACAACAAAGACAGCCAATGAACACCATATGACACGCAATACAATGCCAAGAGCTACTAACGTACAAACCCACATAATGAACCCACAGGAGGCATGTCGCCGTTGTGAAGAGCACGAACACTGGGCACGGTGATGCCCAAACCAGAGGCTACTGTTCTGTTGGGTATTCGGCAAAGTGGGCGTCAGGAGCGTCGAATGCTGTCAACGATCGGGAAATGGCCATTCAGCCGCAGAGAGATGAGTGGGGGTCGCACAAGGCTACCTCTCCAAACTAATTGGCAGGCTAATCGAGGATGAGCAGCAATTGTCCGCAACGATGATGATTGGTGAGCACAGCTACAAAGCCCCAATCAACACTGGAGCAACGGCAAGCTTCGTTAGCGAAGGATTGGCGGACAATCTTGCTGCTCTAGGAAAGATTACAAAGCCAAGACGACAAGTTAGGTTGGCAGACGGAAGATACGGCGGGTTAAGTGCTCAGCTCGAGGTGGAGCCTGTTGATTTTACCAGGAGTAGTGGATCCGTTGGTATTGGGATGGAACTTCCTTATACAAGTCGGAGCCGAAATAAAGCGTGCTGGACACGAAATCACAATACCATCCAGGAACAGGCGCAATGGATGGCTCGAGAAGAAGTCGTTCAACAGGCAAGCAAGGCGAACGACACTAAAGCATTTTTAGAAAAAGAGCTGGTAGACTTCAACACAATGATGAGAACATCGAATATGGCAGAGCACCAGATACAATTGAAAGAAGTCGAAGTCGGTGAAGGATGCCTAAACAACATCCTAGATCAACTAAGAGAAGCGCGGTACATCAGCAGTTTTGACCTGAAGGATGGATATTGGCAGATCCCATTGGAAGAAAATAGCAGGCAATACACGGCTTTCACAGTGCCAGGCAAAGGTATATTTCAGTGGAGGGTAATGCCGTTCGGACTCCACTCAGCGTCAGCAAGATTTCAGCGGGTTTTGGACCAAGTAATTGGCCTCGAGATGTCGCTTCACGCGTTCGCGTACCAGGATGACAAAATAGTGATCGGCAGCACGCTAGAAGAACACAAGGAAAACCTAAGAAAGGTATTCCGGCGTCTAAAAGAAGCAAACCTGAGGCTGAATCCAGAAAAATGCCAATTCTATAAGAAGGAACTGCTATACCTGGGTCATCGAGCTACTAGCGAGGGAATAGGAACAGATCCGGAAAAAGTAGCATAAACTACATCCTAGATCAACTAAGAGATTGTAAATTAGGCGACGTATGTATAGTCATTTCATTTATTTTCCTATCATAAAAATTAATAATATTATAATTAACTTTGTAATGCTTTAACATGCCTAGCCTGTGATATATGTGGGGCGGGGCACAGCCTGCTGAAATCGCTGATCACTTCTTTGCATTCAGCAAACAATCATTTTTTAGATATCGCAGGTAAAACTTCTTTTGATCTAAACAAAAACCGACAAGCTCAGAAAAAATTGTCCAATTTCCTCCTCATTTGAATGCATTGGTGGTTTTTGATGATATTTTTACAGGTTAAGGGGGAAATCCTAAAATAAATGGTCAAGTGTTTAAGCTAACATTGCAAGCGCAGACGGATACAGAAGTTTAATTTTGAAAATATTCAAAACATCATGTTTAAAATATTATCGTATTCAGCCCCATAACATCAAAAGAATAAAGAAGTCTATTTTTTGGGCTGAAAAATAAAAAGTGATTGATGTTTTAAGCATAGACACACACCATCCATTCTCTCCATCCATGGAAAATTTGCCATATCTTAAACGGCGATAGTCGATCGATGCCAGAGAAAAGATAAGTCATCGAAAGAAAGAAGTTTTCACGCAGCAAAAAAGTCATGAAATAAGTATTAGAATATTGTTGGAAGTTGCTGCGTATTTTTATCAGCTTATCCGTCTAAAATATTTCCCCATTTTGTTGCCAAGTAAAACCATTATCATCCATATAAACATGACAAGTTTTTCCGACTCTAACAACTAAATGGCATTTCCTAACCCAAATGGCATTCTCAGGAATTCGTATTTTCCATTGTTTACTGAGAATAATGTTTATTGAATGTCTGTTTAATTTATGAGAATTTGATGGAATCCTGTTTCCAAATCCATTGTGGAAAAGTATTTAGCCTTTCGGAGGTTTGACAAAATTACTGAAGGATCCTGCATTTCTATGACCATGGAAAATAAGTGAAAGCGAACGAAAGTTAAGCATAAATCAAAATAGAAAAATGATAACTAAAATTGTTTGCCTATATACCATGTGAAAGAGTGCCATAATCGTTTGTGATATAATATTCTCCAAATGATCGATCGAAACATTCAGTTTTGGTTTGTGCTGTAGATGTACGCTTGACGGGGTTATATAAAAAGTCGATTGCAAAATGTTGACGTCTCTATCCTACATCTTCAGCAATGAGCTGAACACCCTAAAAACAAAGAATTTATTCAAAATATAATCTATTTGTAAGTGTATGGTGATGGAAATTTTTTTCTCAGATCCATCCGTACAGATTAAAAGTATCTAGATAAAAACAAAAAATATCATTAAAACGCTACGGTTAGAAAAAACAACTTAAATACAATAATGGATAATCGTTTTTTCACGAACTCAAAGCAAAAGCCAAGGAATATTTAGATTTATTTTATTATACTATATTAAAATTGACGAGATACTATTTCTGATCTGAACCTGTTTAGATATCAAGGCTTGTATTAATGCACAACAAGCCATTAAATGCACAACAAGCCATTAAAAAAACGCCTTAAAATCAGAAATTTTGTCTACTTTTGTTAATAGACTTTCTTTGACCTTCACGTAGGCCTAGAATCAGTAATATCGTAACGAATAAAAATACGTACTTTTTAAATCAATTAAAAATATCGATACGAGTGTTGTTATATAATAACTAGGGCAAGAGTTGATCATGTTTAAAGGGGAGCCTGCTTTAGAGGCTTAAAAAAATTTTGTCTACCCAGACTATCTAAGAATGTGTCACTAAAATTTCAAAAGCAAATTAAAAATAAATAAAATTAATAGTGAGCATGCGTTACGATTTTTTATATACAAAAACTTTGATGTGCGATTTCTCGGTTTTTCATTTTAAAAATTTTTCCTAATTGGCGGGAAAGATAGGGAAAAAATTAAACGTCCTATCGAAACG